ACAAACATACCATCAACTATAACGGTCAAACACTAGTAACTTTAACGGACAAACAAAAAATNAGCAGCTTTAACGGACAAACACTTCACCAATTTAAAAGACAAACGTTACACATCAGCAGCTTTAACGGACAAATGTTATACATCATCAGCTTTAACGGACAAACACTTCACCAGTTTAAAAGACAAATGTTACACATCAGCAGCTTTAACGGACAAACACTTCACCAATTTAAAAGACCAATGTAACACATCAGCAGCTTTAACGGACAAATATGACACATCAGCAGATGTTCTGTAGATGTGTGGCTAAGCTTGCTCTTCATTTGTCGTTATTCTTATAACTTATAATATTTATCTTTTTTTTGTCGTTCCTTTTTAAATTTATGCCTAGTGATATGACGGCCTGTTCTATAGCCTACTGTCATCGCCTATTGGTTATAAAAAATCCGCCCGATAAAGATGGAAATTCAAACTACGTCAATTCAGAACTGTTTAGATTTTTTGAGAAATATAAAATTATTTGTTTATCTCGACAAAATATGAATATCTAAAATGTCAAAATATGTACGCCATGTCATATAAAACAACAACGCAAAGTCTGCATTATATAAATCAAATAATTACCTGACAATCCTAGACTGCTATGTCAGTGTATAGCTGGGGTGATCTCCACGGAATACAGCTCGGGTTCGTTCTTTTATACCGAATTCTGGTAGTTGTATGGTGTTATCCATCATTTCCCTCTAACATACTGTTAGAATGGGGGGCTTGCAGGAGGAGAAGGAGTTAAAAGTAAATGCTGAAACATTATATATTTTATCCAAGACAACAAGCTGAAGTTACAAAGTTTTTAAAACTTTTTAGCTTTCATAAGTTTTGGATGTAATACTTTCTGAGACAAGGAGATTAGCATAACTCTTTGTCTGCTATTTCCCCACTTTGGAGAGAATAAGAGGAAAGTGGGGAGATGACAATGAGCAGTCAGTAATACGTAGTATCATGTGACACCATTACCATATATTTCACCTGTGTGAACTATGTTACCTGTCCCCATGTTACCCACTGTCTTAGTAAAATTGATATCAATCAATAATAGTTTGTCATGCATCAAAATGAACATATAAAATTATCATAAATAAACTATATATGCATATGTTAAACATTCGATAAATCAGCATGATTTCGACTGAAGAGACACCAACAACCTTTCACTAATTTACAGGCAAATTAAAATCATGACAAATACATTTTAAAATTCACGCACATGGCTCTTAGGTTTCAGCAGTAAAACATGGCGACCAGTTGTCTGTTGGAATTATATGAGGTTAACTATAACGTCTGTCGTACATAGTTGTGTTAGAAAAATAGATGATGAAAATAAAATATGATATTAAAAAGTTAGGAAATCATAAAAAATGAACTTAATGTATAAAACATCATTACACAAACGACAATGTCATTCCTGATTCGGTGTTCAAAACTTTGCTACGATTATTAGGAATATGATAGATGCTGATCTCTGGCGGAGTTTTAAGTGATATGGGTTGATAAAGGATATGAACAAGCTTTATGGTCGCTATCATCTTCATCATCATCATCATCATCATCATCATCATCATCATCAGCATCATCAGCATCAGCATCATCATCATCATCATCATCATCATCATCATCTCATTGGGATTATATTTTACCTGGTGTGATAGGAAGGTCGATGCTCTCGATTATGTTTATTAGTATGTCGTATTGGCTGTGATGACGTATTGGCTGTGATGACGTATTGACTGTGATGACGTATTGGCAGTGATGACGTAGTCCGTCTTTGCGTATTGCAGTTTTATCTTCTCTTGTAAGCAGGTATTGATTTTTACGTCATTTGTTTGTGAGAGTAACGTCATCAATTTTTGAGAAAACGACGTAATTTCATCACACAAACCAATGACGTAACAATCAATACCTGCTCACAAGAGAAGATAACTCTGCAATACGCAAAGACGGAATTGGCTGTGATGACGTATTGGCTGTGATGACGAGGCAATAGTTGTATTAGATAAATCTAGTTGATATGGCGGGTGTCATCGATGAAGCAGAAGACGCTTACCCTTTCCATACACACGGACGTTTTCTCCTTGTACTTTTTTTTAGGTTCTCCATGTTTTTCCTCTGTTAATATTTTACCTTAGTTTTATCGATTTGGAGTTCGAATTGCGCTTTAATTGACACCTAGGTATTCTTTAACATAATTGTATGTGGTTGGGCCTTTGTTGAGTACGCTATATATATAGGTACGTAGTTTATTACTTTTTACAGTATTGTCTATCAAGTTCAGTCAAATACCGAATGCACGTTGCATACAGGTTAATTATGACAATGATCAGAATAAAACATCTTCATTCATCTAAAGGTAAATAGTTGGCCTCAGGCAATTATGGAGATATGTATTCATATCAATTATCTAGAAAGTCGTGATTATATATAGGTAAGACAAAAAGGTATATTAATCTAAACCAATTAGATAGCTGTGATGATAAGCTGAAACAAGGAGGTACATATTTATCTAAAAAAAACTTGAAAGGTATCAACATCTGACACCTGCAATAACACTTGTATGTATTTACACACAGAATGAACGTTGTGTCAAAGCATTAGCTACTACTTGTCTCATCCCACCGTAAAACTTCTCTCTGGTGGAGTTAGAGAATAGGTGAGTTTAACTGCATAATGCAAAGTACCTCACATAAACAATAGTTCGACGAAGACGATATACCGATAGATTAAGAGGTCCAACGTCTTCTGTGGGACGGGTCACATGCCAAAATGTAATAGAAATAACGTCTCGCTGCAGTTCGGTAGTTAGTTAATATCCGACGGTTAGGATGTATATGTTTGTTTCTAAATCAATGCCATTTGGATCTAAAGTTGTTGTAGTACATGAAGGGAAGATCATAACTTGCTGTTAAATATAAGGTCAATAATACTGATTTATATAGTGCACGCAGGTAACGGTAAAAGGACGCTAACGGAATCCATTTTTAACACTCCCCATTACGGCACTATAAAACCCCGAGATGCGACAAAGCCTTGTAGCTGGACTTTAGCCTGACACAGTTAGCATAGAAAACAAGTTTAAGTATAACATCATTTGTTGAAGCCAAACTTTGAACATAGATTAAATAGATAATAGTATATAGGCACCTATTCATTAAGCTTTATTCTACATAAGATTGGGATCACTTCAGACAAGGAGTCTTCATTTCGCTGTATTTTACATAAGCTTGGGAACACTTCAGACTAGGATTTTTTTATTTCGCTGTATTTTACATAAGATTGGGAACACTTCAGACAAGGAGTTTTCATTTCGCTGTATTTTACATAAGATTGGGAAAACTTCAGACAAGCAGTTTTCATTTCGCTGTATTCTACATAAGATTGGGAACACTTAAGACAAGGAGTTTTCATTTCGCTGTATTTTACATCAGATTGGAAACACTTCGGACAAGCAGTTTTCATTTCGCTGTATTTTACATAAGATTGGGAACATTTCAGACAAGCAGTTTTCATTTAGCTGTATTCTACATAAGATTGGGAACACTTCAGACAATGAGTTTTCATTTCGCTGTATTCTACATAAGATTCATTTCGCTGTATTCTACATAAGATTGGGAACACTTCAGACAAGGAGTTTTCATTTCGCTGTATTCTACATGAGATTGGGAACACTTCAGACAAGCAGTTTTCATTTTGCTGTATTCTACATAAGATTGGGAACACTTCAGACAAGGAGTTTTCATTTCGCTGTATTTTACATATGATTGGGAACACTTCAGACAATGATTTTGCATTTCACTGTATTCTACATAAGATTGGGAACACTTCAGACAATGATTTTGCATTTCGCTGTATTCTACATAAGATTCGGAACACTTCAGACAATGATTTTGCATTTCGCTGTATTCTACATAAGATTGGGAACACTTCAGACAATGATTTTGCATTTCGCTGTATTCTACATAAGATTGGGAACACTTCAGACAAGGAGTTTTCATTTCGCTGTATTCTACATAAGATTGGGAACACTTCAGACAAG